GAGTAGATTGGGATTATATTCATTGGAATTCAGAAGATTGAGGGGGGATCTTATAGAAACATATAAAATTATGAAGGGAATAGATAAGATAGAAGTAGAAAGGATGTTTCCACTGGCAGGTGAAGCTACGACAAGCGGGCATAGCCTGAAGATTGAAGGGAGCAGATTTAGGACTGAATTGAGAAGGAATTTCTTCACCCAGAGGGTTGTCAATGTATGGAATTCCTTGCCCAGTGAAGTAGTTGACGCTACTTCTGTAAATGTTTCTAAAAAAAAAAGGTAGATTTTTTTGAACAATAAAGGAATTAAGGGATACGGTGAGAACGCGGGTAAGTGGTCCTGAGTCCACGAAAGGATCAGCCATGATCTTATTGAATGGCGGAGCAGACTCGAAGGGCCAGACGGCCTACTCCTGCTCCGAGTTCTTATGTTCTTATGTACCACTGGTAACTTGTAAACATCAGCACCCACTGACAATTTAAGCTCTTTTCAAATTAATGTTGTTCCTTTAACTTTTGAACTGCAGCCATCCTGTTGATCACTCAGGGGAGTTATGTTCCCATGTACACAGATGAATTGTGGTTGCCCTGGCAAGTCATTATCCCTGCACCCTCTACACATGTTTCTTATTGAGCAAAAATCACATCTGTGGCTATAATTGTTGCAGATCCTTCCTGCATTTGATAATACCTTTTTTTGCATCGTGGGAAAAAATCCTACATCGTCTGTTCATCAATAGGCCATTAACTCATGAAGGTGTTGTCAAGGGGGAAGGTTTAACTGTATCACTGGTGTGGTTATTAAATGTCAATTTAATTCTACGTTTTTGGGATTCAAATTTTCAAGAAGTGTAGTTGTATGTCCATACATATTGGCACTCTCAGCTTGTTAGTTTGTAAATACTATTTGCAGTTCTGCAATTTGACCATAGCAGCTCACTGATTGAGACAAGCCTGTTAAATTTTGAATCAGTACATATCATTGTGGTCTGATTATCTGTGCTGTGCATATTCATATAAACTAGTATATTGAAAAAGTCACTTGATGGTGACTGTATGTTTAATTTCAAAGCTAGATGGCTAGGAATTTGCAATAAATTTGAACATGTGCTGGCAACCCTTAGCAGGGTGGGTGACATCTGTGGAAGAGAAAGGTGAAGTTACATTTCCATAAAGTAGGACATCAATAAGTGATGGGGAAGCCATTTTTGAACAGTTGGGTGCCCTGGATGAAGTAAACCAAGGATGACAATTTCTCTCGAACTACACTTCTTGAAAATTTGAATCCAGAAAACGTAGACTTAGATTGACATTTAATCACCACACCAGTGATACGGTTAAACCTTCCCCCTTAATCCTTTGTTTCAAGGTCTCGGGGAAGATTGTTGAGCAGGATTCTGGACAAGTACAAGGTTGATTTATGTTTTTCTTCATTTTCAGCACAATGTACATTTTTGGTGGGTTCAACAGTCTTCTGCTAAGTGATGTTCTGATGTTCACACCAAGCAGTTGTGAAGCTTTTTCTGATGAAGCGGCATGTGTTGGGGCAGCCCCAGGAGTCCGGTGTGTATGGAATACCGACATGCTGCGATGTGTACCCTGGGAAATAGCATCTGCAGGGGAGGCGCGTCAGATTCTTGATAAGTGCCCCAGCAAGACATGTATGTTTTTAAGATTAATATTTCCTGTTTTGGCATTCTAAGTTAGTATTAAATTCATGTTTCTGAATATTTAACAGCATTTCTTGTGCTTTTCTGCTTTGATTTTAAAACACTTGTTTGACTTGCTGCTGATTTCCAATTGCAAAACCAAACTCTTGATGCTTCGAGAAACCATAGTTAACACTTTGCAAAACGATGACTAGAATAAGCGCATAAGCTGGCTAGGATATTTCTTTTCCATTGTTTTTTCTTGTGTGCTTCAGTCAGTGAAGTGATTTATTTAGATACTACTGACAAGTTGGATTTGTGAAGGCATGAAATTATAAATGGTTTTCTCTGGGTCCTTTGTTTTGAGGATAGTTGGGTTTGAGATAGCTGTACTTCAGTTATTTGTGTGTTTTGAATAACTGTATTGCCGTGGAATTTGTTTCACTGCTTTAGTGAGTTGGGTGAGATTCCTTCTTTTCCTTTTCTGCAGTGCACCACAGGTTTCCCTACGTCTTTCTCTCGCGCGCTCTTGCTTGCCCTCACGTGCTCTTGCTCATTCTCTCCAGCCCCAACCCAATTACCTTGGTAATATGCATCAAAACAGTTCAGGAGGGCAACAGTCAAGCTCTGAGCCCTGGTGTGAGAGTTTTACTGGCACTTACCATACAGGTCTTCATTCACATTAGTAAGGGCATGTTTGACATATGTTGCCTTGGTTGGGAAATGGCTTTAGTTCTTCCCTGTGCTTAATTCTGTGGAGTCTTTGTTTCCTGTTTGAGTCAGTTGATGTTGAATGTTATGGGATAGCTGTAACTGTTGTTGTTGTGAAGAATGAATATTTGCACAACACTGAGCTAAGTGGCTTGGTCATGTCCATGGTGATCTCCAGCACTGATGGACCAACAACAAAATGATATGTATGCTGTGACACTCATTACTGTGGCGGCAACAACAAAATACCTCATTAGAACAGATCAGGGGAAATGGGGCTTGCTTCATTTTTGAGTCGGTGTTTTCTTCATGACAGGATTGATTTGCACAGTTTATGTAATGCATTTACTGCGATATGTCACTTAAGAATATGTATTAAATGGGTTGCACTACAAAAACCAATTTATATGGAAATCTTTTGATGTTTGCAGTACTATTTTGGATCAAGTTCTGTTTGGAAATTCCCTGGAGTTGTAGCAGCAAAACAATCACCAGGCCCTGCTGGTGCTGGAACTACAGTGTGTGTTTCGTTCGGATGAAATTATCTCCATTAGATGGTTGCAGAGTGTAGGAGAAAATATCAGTGCTGGAGTACATAATATTTGTATTTCTGATTAAAAATGTTTTTATTCCATACCACTGTCCTACAGATGCAGATAATGAAAAATGTGATCAGTATACTGATTGCTACAGCTGTACAGTGAATACAAACGGCTGTCAGTGGTGTCATGATAAGTGTCTGTCTAAGAACAGTAACTGCACAGAAGCCACTGTGAGTATGCTGACCAACTCTTTGGAGTGGGTATTATTAATTAATTGCTTTTCATGCATCCTTCTAGAAGGACAGTCTTATAGTATAAACTAATTTTGTTGCTTTGAAAATGACAATGCACAGCCACACCAACTCTAGTTTGGAACATAACAGGCATACATTGCTACACTGTTCATTTTGGTGTAAAGAAATGCATTTACATAGCAATTCAGAATTCCTTTAGTGTCTGTCGCCCCTTCACATTTATCCATGACCAGTTTGACACAGCACAATTCAGGTAATTATGAGGGGGATATTCTTGGTTTGGTCAGAGAGGCGATGTTTCAAGGGAAAGGTAAATCAGGATGGAAGAAGAAACCCTTAAATTCAAATAAAAAAACAGAAAAGCTCAGCAGGTCTGGCAGCATCTGTGGAGAAAAGAATCAGTTAACGTTTCGGATCCGGTGATCCTTCCTCGGATCTTAAATTCAGATAATGGCTTGAGATTCTTAATGTTCACATTACCAACTAAAATACTCCACGTGTTATCAAAAAACAGCTGGATGTTGCAAAGGATTTCAGCCCTGACAATATTCTGGTAGTAACAAAAACAATAGGGGATCAGTTAACTAAGTTAGCTGGAAGGCTCGTTTGAGATTCAGAGTGATGCCATCAGTGTGGGTTCAATTCCTGCACTGGTTGAGTTACCATGAGCGAGTGTCCTTCCCAACATCTCCCCCTTGCCTGAGGTGTGGTGACCCTCTGGTTAAACTACCACCAGTCATCTCTCTGTAATGAGAGACCCTACGGTCCAGCGTGACTATGGCGGCATTATCTTTATCTAGTTAATTGTACTGAAGATGTGCTCCAGGTCTGGCCATGGCTTTAGCCAAGCAGTGCCAGTGCAGCTGCAACGCTGGCATCTACCCAATAATATGAAAACCGCCCAATTATGTCCTGTATGTATAAACTCTGCTGATTAGCACCCCATTAGTCTGTTCTCAATCATCAGTAAAGTGACACAAGGGCTCATCAACAGTGCATCAAGGAGCACTTGGTGGCCATAATCTCTCTGTTGTTCGCTTTGGGTTTTGCCATGGTGACTAGGCTCCAAACCTTATGAAAGCCTTGGAGTCTAACCATGAACAAAAGAGCTATCTTCAGAGGTGACAATAGAGTGATTTGCCCTTCGTGACAAGGCCACATTTGACTGAGTGTGACACTAAGGAGCTGAAGCAAAACTGGAGTCATTGAGAATCGGGGGAAGTCTCTCTGCCGGTTGGAGTCATATCTGACATAAAGGAAGATGATTGTGATATTTGGAAGCCAGTCATCTCAGACACAGGACATCTCTGCAAGAGTTTCTCAGGGTAGGGTCCATGGCTGAACCATCTTCAGCTGCTTCATTCATGACTTCCCCTCATCACAAGGTCAGATGTGGGGATGCCAATTGACTGCACAATGTTCTGCCTTTTGCAGCGTCTCGGATACTGAAGCGGTCTGTATCCAAATACAATAAGACCCGGACAATGTTCAGGTTTAGGCTGAGATGTGATAAGTAACATTCATGTCACACAAGATCCATGCATTGACTATCTCTAATAGGAAGAATCTAACCATCGTACCTTGACGTTTAGTAGCATTACCATTGCTGAATCTCCCATGCTCATCGTGGGACTTAGCATTGCCCAAAGACTGAATTGAAATAGTCATATAAATAGCGTGACTGCTAGAGAAGACCGAGGCTAGAATTGCTGCAGCAAATAATTCATCTCCTGACTCCCCAGAACCAGTCACCATCTATGAGGTGTAAGATGTCCTAGTGATATTATTGCTAGACTATTAATCCAGAATCTCAGCTAATGTTCTAGGGACTTGTGTTCAAATCCTGTGATGGTGGAATTTGAACTCATCAACAAAAAAAATTTAAAAAAAAAAAAACAAAAAAAAATCCCATCTGGTTCACCTGTCTGACATCATTACCTCTGGTCTGGCCTACATGTGACTTCAGACCCCAGCAATGTGGTTGATTCTCAATTGCCCTCTGAAATGGCTTAACAAGCCATTCAGTTGTACCAATAGCTACAAAGTTTCAAACAAATGAAACTGGATGGATCACATTGCATTGACCCAGGCACCAGAAAACACAATGGCAGAAATTGCCCTGCCTACCCTGCAAAGTCGTCTTTCTTAACATCTGGGGGCTGGTTCCAAAATTGGGAGAGCTGTCTCTCGGACTAGTCAAGTAACAGCCTGACATCATCATACTCACGGAATGATACCTTACAGATAATGTCCCAGACACCACTAACACCCTCGCAGGATATGTCCTGCCCAACCGGAGGGACAGAACGAGCAGAGATGGTGGCTCAGTGGTATACGGTTGGGAGGGAGTTGCCCTGAGACTCCTCAGCATTGACTCTCGATCCCACGAAATCTCATGGCTTCAGTTTAACCATGGACAAGGAAACCTGCTGGTTGCCACAAACTGTCCTCCCTTGGCTGATGAATCCATACTTTTCCATGTTTAACAGTAGTTTGACAAAGCACTGAAGATGACAACAGCATAAAATGTACTCTGGATGGGGATTTCAATGTCCACCATCAAGAGTGGTTCGGCAACAGTACTACTGATGGAGCTGGTTGGGTCCTAAAGGACATAGCTGCAAGACTGGGTCTGCAGCAGGTGGCGAGGGAACCAGCGAGTGAAAAACTACTTGACCTCATCCTCTCCAACCTACCGGCTGCAGATGTATATGACTATGACAAGATCGGTAGCAGTGACCGCTGCACAGTGACCGCTGCACAGTTCTTAGGTGGACGAAGTCCTGCCTTTGCATTGAGAATAACCTCCATTCTGTTGTGTGGCGCTATTGCTGTGTGAAATAAGAGAGATGTCGAATAGATCTAGCAACTCCAGAGCGGGCATCCATGAGGCACTGTGGGTCATCAACAGCAGCAGAATTGTGTTCCAGTACAATCTGCAAACTCATGACTTGGCATATCCCCCACAACTATTATCGTCAAGCCAGAGGATCAACCATGGTTCAATGGAGAGAGCAGGAAGGCATGCCAGGAATGGCACCAGGCATACCTGAAAGTGAGGTGTCAACCTGGTGAAGCCACCAGGCAGTACTAAGTGCACACCAAGTAGTGCGAAACATACAGTAGAAGCATTCACAGTGATCTTCAGCCAGGAGTGTCAAGTGGATGATACGTCTAAACACCAACCCCCCCCCCCCGCCCCTGCTCCCGCCTCCCAACACACACAGACACACACACACACGTCTCCAACATTACAGATACCAATCTACAGTCAATTTGTTCCATTCATAGTGATATGAAGAAACGGTTGGAGACACTGGATAGTGCAAAGACTATGGGCCCTGACAATATTCTGGTAATAGTACTGAAGATGTGCACCAGAGGCTGTTCTTCTATCCAAGCTCTTCTAGTATATTCACAGTACTGACATCTAGTCAACAATGTGAGAAATTGCCCAGGTATATCCTGCAACTGAAAAGCAGGGCAAATTCAACCTAGCCAATTAGCGTCTCATCATTAGATTGATGAAAGGTGTCATCAATAGCAATACCTGCTCAGTGAGGCCCAGTTTGGATTCTGCTCAAGTCACTGAGCCCCTGACCTCATGACAGCCTTGTTTCAAACATGGACAAAAGAGCTGAATTCCAGAGATGAAGTGGGCGTGACAGTCCCTGTCATTAAGGCTGCATTCGAATGAGTGTGGCATCAAGAACTCCTAGCAAAACTGAAATCAATGGGTATCGGGGAAAACTCGCTGTGGTAGCAATCATACCTGGCTCATAGGATGGTCATGGTTATTGAAAGTTAGTCACCTCAGTTCCAGGACATCTCTGCAGGAGTGCACAGCCATCTTCAGCTGGTTCATTAATGACCATCCCTCCATCATAAAGTCAGAACTGGGGATGTTCGTTGATGACTGTGCAATGTTTAGCATGATTCACAACTCTTCAGGTACTGAAGCAGTCCATGTTCAAATACAACAAGATCTGGACAGAATCTAGGCTTGGGCTGACAAGTGGCAGGTCACATTTGAGTAACACAAATACCAGGCTGTGACCACCGCCCCTTGACATTCAATGGTGTTACCGTCACTGAACCCCTCACTATCAAGATCCCGGGGGTTACCGTTGACCAGGCACTCAACTGGACTCGCCACATAAACACCGTGGTTATAAGAGCAGGTCAGAGGCTAGGAATACCGTGGTGAGTAACTCACCACCTGACTTCCCATTGTCTGTTCACAATTGACAAGGCACATGTTGGGAGTTTGATAGAATACTCCCCACTTGCCTGGATGGGTGCAGCTCCAACAGCATTCAAGAAGTTTGACACCATCCAGGACAAAGCAGCCCACTTGATTGGAACAACATCCACAAGCATCCGTACTGCCTATAAGTTGCACTGCAGAAATTCACCGAAGATCCTTAGACACATCTTCCAAACCCACGACCACTTCTATCTGGAAGGACAAGGGCAGCAGATACCTCGGAACACCACTAACTTCAAGTTCCCCTCCAAGCCACTCCCCATCCTGACTTGGAAGTATATTGCTGTTCCTTTACTGGGTCAAAGTGCTGGAATTCTGTCCGTAATGGTATTGAGAGTCAATCCACAGCAGGAGGAATACAGGGGTTCAAGAGTGCAGCTCGCCATCACCTTCTCAAGGGTAACTGGAGTTGGGCAATGAATGCTGGCCAGCCAGCAACACCCACATCCCACAAATGCATGAAAAAAAGAATATTCAAGGTCACAGTATATTCCCCGCTTGGATAGGTGCAGCTCTCGCAATACTCAAGAAACTTGACACCATTCAGGACAACGGAGCTCTCTTGAATAATACCACATCTACAACGTTCACTCCCTTCACCACCAACACTCAGTAGCAGCAGTATGTACTTTGTACAGAGATGCACAGCAAAGATTCTTTAAAGCTCCTTCGACTGCATCTTTCAGGCCCATGATCGTGATCGCTATGACAGACAAAGGCAGCAGATCTGCGACAATTTGACCACCTGCAAGTTATCCTTGAAGCCATTCACAAGCCTGACTTGGAAGTATGTTATTGATGTAACTTGGTCAAAATCCTGGAACTCCCTCCGTAATCGTACAGAGGGTATGCCTGCACAAAGGGACTGCTGCAGTTCAAGAAGGCTGCTTGCTAGCACTCACTGAAGCGCAACCAGGAATGAGTGACAAGGCCATGTTGTGTTACAACATAAGTAAAATCGATGGTAAAAGAAAACAGCAGTTAGAACCTTGCTATAATTTTATAATTAAAGAATGACATCCCTCAAAGTGCAGCATTTCCTCTGACACCACTTGAATATCTGCATAAATTATGCACCGATGCCTTGGAGTAGGGCTTCAAGACTTTGGGAAACTAAGATAGGAAATCTTCTGCTGATGGAGCATATACTTCATCGGTAACCTCTAACTGTATAAAAACAAGAATAGGGATGAAAAATGCATAGTCATTCATTTATGTATACAGTAAATATTTTTTAAAGATCAGATTGTACACACGTTTTTTGCCTGCAAACTTGATCTGTTTGTTCAGACAGTAAAATCATTAATCCTACAATCATTTAACTTTATCAAAAAAAAATTCTCTCAGTAAGTGGATAACAAGTAGATTCGAAGTAATAAGGGAGCAAGAGTGGGTGTAAGGCAACTTATTTCCATAATACTGAAGAGATTGCAGCCAAGGGTTGCTTAAAGAAATAAATTACAAAATAAGCAACTGATTAAATCTTAATTCATTTGGTACACTGTTACTGTTGCACTGGCAATATTGGAGTAAAGGTCTTTTCATTGACAAGCTTTGTTGTATGGTATACAATTCACCCCGCTTAGTGACGTAAGACCAGAAGGAGCAGAAGTAGACCATTTGGCTCACTGAGTCTGGTCTGCCATTCAATGAGATCATGGATGATCTGATAATCCTCCCCTCCACTTTCCTGCTTTATCCCTATAACTCTTAATCCCCTTACTAATTACAAATCTAACTGTCTCGGCCTTTAACATCCAGCTTCGGCGGTCATGTATTTCACAGATTCACCACATTCTGAGAGAAGAATTTCAATCTGAGATTATACTGTTTGGTTTTAGACTCTGCCACAAAAGGAAGCAATCTCTCAGCATGAAAATTGTTAGACCACCGGGGAATCTTGATTGTTTCAATAAGATCTCTTATTCTTCACAACACTTCCAAATGTACTCAACCTTCACTTTATGAGAAAATTCCTCCGTACCTGGAATCAATGTACTGAACCTTCTCCAGACTGCATTCAATGCTGCTATTATCTTGCGTCTTGCTCAGTTTACGGAACAGCTGATTTACGATGCAGAGTGACGCTCATAGTGAGTTCCATTTCACATACCAGCTGAGGTGACAGCAAAGGTTCTGCCTTCTCAGCCATGCCCCTTGTATGAGACATTGTGACCCTTCAGTTAAATTCACTAACAGTCATCTTTGTCTATGAGAGAGCAGTTCTGAGACTATAGCGACTTTACCTTTAAGGCCATAAGAATGTAAGAATTATAATAGGAGTGGGCTGTTTGGCCTCTCAAGCCTGTTTCACCATTCAGTAGGATCGTAATTGATCAGACATACTTCAAGTTCACTTTTCTGCCCTTTCGTCATCACCCTTCAATTTCCCTATGATAAACAACTGATCTATCTGAGACGTAAGTATGCACAGGCACTCTGTCCCACAATTCTATGTGGCAACCAAGTCCAAAGACACTAAACACTTCAAGAGAAGAGATGAGAAATTTCAGTCTTAAATTGGTGCCCCTTTATTCAGAGACTGTGCCCTCTGGTCCTCGACTCTCCCGTGAGCAGTTACCCTGTCAATCCCTTAAGAGTCCTATATGTTTCAATGTCATTACCTGTCATTCTTTACCATCTTCCTTTTTGATAAGGGGACAAACTGTTCACAGTATTCTAGGTGTGGTCTGACTGGTGCCTTGTATAAAATCAAAACACAAAATTGGCAATAAAAACAATACGTGCTAGAGAAACTCCATTTGTGGAGAGGTAAACTGAGTTCACGGGAACAGTTTTTAGTTCAATATAACTCTTCTTCAGGAAGTGACTTGTATATTTTTAACAAGACCTCCTTTTATCCTGCATTTCCTTTGAAATAAAGGTCAACATCTTGTTTGTTTTCCCTGTGGGTGGCATGTTGGCACAGTGGTTAGCATTGTTGCCTCATCGTGCCAGGGACCTAGGTTCAATTGTCTGTGTGGACTTTGCATGTTCTCCCCATGTCTCTGCATGGGTTTCGTCCGGGTGTTCTGGTTTCCGTCCCACAGTCCAGAGATGTGCAGGTGAGGTGGATTGACCGCGCTAAATTACCTAGTGTCCAAGGATGTGCAGGGTCTATGTAGGGATTCTATCATTCCATTATTTGCTGAATTTGGATGCCAGCTTTTTGAGATGTGTATGCAAGGACCCGTAAACCCATTTGTCTTGCAGTTTTCTGCAATCTTTTTCCAATTTAGTAATGTTCAGCTCCTCTTTTCTTCCTGCCAAAATGTGTAACCTATTTTCCCAAGTTACAGTCCATTGCTAAGATTTTGTACACTCGCATATGGCAGTTTGCATTTATGTAGTACTTGTAATGCGTTTTAAAATGTCTCGATGAATATCAGCATTTTTGAACAAAATGGGATAGTAGGACTGATGACCAGAAGCTTGATAAGAGTTGGGTTTGAAGGGGTATCTTAAAGGACAGAATTCAGAGTTGAAAGTTCTCATGGAGTAATTTCAGACCTCGACCAGTCAATGCTGATCATCATGGATACAGCATGAAAATCAGGACTGTGTAAAGGTCTAGAATTAGAGGAAAAGGAGCTAATGGAGAGAGAAAGACTGAGTCCATGATGGAATTTGAACCCAAGAATGATATATTAACATAGAGGTTGTTACCGGATTAGAAGCAGAGATGTGCTAGTAAGAACAGACTTAGTCTGTGAACAGTATCATCAAGTTTGATAAGGGGGAAGTGATTAGGATGAGTTTATGGACAAGGAATTGTGAATTGCTGCCCAGGAGCATATTGAAATAGTCAAATCCTGAGACTTTTAGTTGATGAAGGTGCATGTCATTATGTCATAGTGTTCTGATTTTGACTCTTGGTTTGTATTATGTTAAAGCATTGCCATGGATGTGGAATATACAAAATATTTCTAATTTTTTTTATAGGTATTAATCTGGGATTATGAAGCTTGTCCAAAAGATAAACCAGAGTATGTTTGTAATAAGCTGACTAGTTGTAAAAGCTGTGCCATGGACCAGAACTGTCAGTGGGAAGCCAGGAACCAGGAGTGCATCCCGTTACCTGGTATGTTTGTTTGTTTGTTCGTTACGCTTGAAATACCTTTTAATGCTCTAACTTGTTCAGTCAAGCTGATAATTTTGTTCAACCCCCCAAGTCTTGCTGTGGCAACTATTGTTCCCCAGGAATGTAAATTAGTTGTTGAACAAAGAAGTAGTGCAAGTAGACAATTTTGTGGGGAGGATAACCAGTGGGGAGGCGAAGGCCTAGTGTATTATCTCTGGATTAACAGTCCAGCGACCATGTTCTGGGGATCCGGGTTCGACTCCCGCCATGGCAGATGGTGGAATTTGAATTCGATAAATATCTGGAATTAAGAATCAAGTGGTGACCATGAATCCATTATCGATTGTCAGAAAAACCCATCCGGTTCACTGATGTCCTTTTCGGGAAGGAAACTGCCTTCCTTACCTGGTCTGGCCTACATGTGACTCCAGACCCACAGCAATGTGGTTGACTCTGAACTGCCTGATGGGCAATAAATGCTGCCCAGCCAGCAACGCCCTCATCCCGTGAATGAATTTAAAAAAAAAAAAAAAAGTTTAGTGACTGTCCATTCTCAGTATTCCACTCGATGGCCCTTGTTACTTCTTAATTCTTTGAAATGAGCAGCTCTATCATTCAAACTCCTTACTCTTGCTTAACTGCCTTCTGTTGTGCTGCATGTAGTGTAATTTGTGTGGAATGTCTTTCATAATTCATGAAAGTTGCATCATTGATCCACTTCATTGTAGTATTAACATCGTTCTCAGGCCTAGTCCCAGTTTAATTACAAGCTGAAATTATCCTGTATTGAAAGATTTTGGGAAAATTAAAAGAATGTATCATATTCTGGAATGAAAACAAAGTTGTTGGAAAAGCTCAGCAGGTCTGGCAGCATCTGTGAAGAAAAAAATCAGTGTTAACCGTTTCAGGTCCGGTGAGCCTCAAAACGGTTCTGAGGAAGGGCCACGGGACCCGAAACATTAACTCTGATTTTTTTTTTCTTCACAGATACTGCCAACCTGCTGAGCTTTTCCAGCAACTTTGTTTTTGTTTCAGAGATAGTAGGAACTGCAGATGCTGGAGAATCTGAGATAACAAGGTGTAGAGCTGGATGAACACAGCAGGCCAAGCAGCATCAGAGGAGCAGGAAGGCTGACGTTTCGGGCCTAGACCCTTATCCAGCTGTACACCTTGTTATCTCTAACTTTGTTTTTGTTCCTGATTTACAGCATCTGCAGTTCTTTCGGTTTTTATTTAGTATCCATATTCTGGTCTCCCTGCGAAAGGAAAGATGCTAAACTTGAAAGGGTTCACAAAACTATTTACAAGAATGTTGCCAGGGTTGGAGGGTTTAAGCTATAGGGAGAGGCTGAATAGGCTGGGGCTTTTTTCCTTGCTGTCTTGGAAGTTGAGGGGTGACCTTTAGGTTTAAAAAAATCATGAGGGCCATGGATAGGCTGAATAGTCGGTCTCTTTCCCAGAGTAGGCGAGTCCAGAAATTGAGGGCCCAGGTTTACGTGAGAACGAAGGAAGCTGAGAGGCAACTTTTCATGCTGAGTGGTGCGTGTATGAAACGAGCTGCCAGAGGGAGTGGTGGAGGCTAGTACAATTACAACATGTAAAAGGCATCTGGTTGGGTACATGAATGAGAAGAGTTCAGAGGGATTTGGGCCAAATGCTGGCAAATGGGACTAGATTAATTTAGGATAGGTCGACATGGACAAGTTGGACCGAAGGGCCTGTTTCCATGCTGTGCAGCTCTCTGACTTCATACTCTGCTTAACTTCCTTTGATAGCCATAGTTGGTTTAGCCCTGTCTTAGAATCCTTCCTTCTTAACTGGAATGGACATGTCTGCCACTGCTTGCTTACTGTCATTCTTGTGCTAATGTATCCACCAGTTTATTTTGGCTAACTCTATCCTCATTTCATTGTAATTCCCCTCACTCACATTAAACAGTTGTTTCTGACCCGAGTTTCTCACTCAAGGTGAATATTGCATTTGTCATGTTATGATCAATTCTTCCTGGGCAATTTTATTTGGATGTCATCTGTTAAACCTGCCTCATTACCCATGACCCATGGCCTGCTTCCTAGTTATCTCCATGACATATTAGTCGAGGACATATTGCTCCCAACCTGTTTAGCCTTTGCACATAAGACCATAGCTCTAACCCAGTGTGGCTTCTCTGAACTGCCTTGACTGAACTACTTTCAGTACTCCAGATGTGATCTCACCAGCAAAGAGAGATTGTGTTGGAGAAATTGTTGCAATTGAAGGCTGATAAATCTCTAGAGCCTGATAATCTACATCCCAGATTACCTTTTCTAATTCATTTGTGGGATGTGGGTGTCGCTGGCTGGCCAACATTTATTGCCTGTCCCTTGTTGCCCTTGAGAACGTGGTAGTGAGCTGCCGCCTTGAACTGCTGCAGTCCACCTGCAGTGGGTTGACCCATAATCCCATTAGGGAGGGAATTGCAGGATTTGGACCCAGTGACAGTGGAGGAACGGTGATATATTTCCAAGTCAGGATGCTGAGTGGCTTGGAAGGGAACTTGAAGGTGGTGGTGTTCCCATGTATCTGCTGCCCTTGTCCTTCTAGATGGAAGTGGTTGTGGGGTTGGAGGGTGCTGTTTGTGGATGTTTGGTGAATTTCTGCAGTGCATCTTATAGATTGTACACATTGCTGCTGCTGCTGCTGCTGCTGCTGCTGCTGAGCGTCAGTGGTGGAGGGAATGCATACTTGTAGATTTAGTGCTAATCAAGCGAGCTGCTTTGTCCTGGATGGTGTCAAACGTCTTGAGTATTGTTGGGGCCACTGATTCCAGGCAAGTGGAGAGTATTCCATCACACTCCTGTCTTGTGCCTTGTAGATGGTGGACAGGCTTTGAGGAGTCAGGAGGTGAATTACTCGCTGCCATATTCCTAGTTTCTAACCTGCTGTTGTAGCCACTGTGTTAATGTGGTGAGTCCAGTGAGTTTCTGGTCAATGATAATCCCAAAGGATGTTGATAGTGCGGGATTCAGTGATGGTAACACCGTTGAATGCCAAGGGACGGTGGTTAGATTGTCTCTTATTGGTGATGGTCATAGCCAGGCATTTGTGTGGCGCGGATGTCACTTACCACTTGTTAGCCCAACCCTGGATATTGTCCAGATCTTGTTGCATTTGAACGTGGACTGCTTCAGTATCTGGGGAGGTCACGAATGGTGCTGAACATTGTGCAATCGTTGACGAACATTCCCACTTCTGACCTTATGATGGAAGCAAAGTCCTTGATGAAGCAGTTGAAGATGGTTGGCCCTAGAACACTACCCTGAGGAACACCTGTAGAAGTGTCCTGCAGCTGAGATGATTGACCTCCAACCATCACGACCATCTTCCTATGTGTCAGGTATGACTCCAACCACCTTAGAGTTTTCCCCCAATCCTAATTAATTCCACTTTTGCTCGGGATCCTTGATCCCACAGTCAGTTGAATGCAGCCTTGATGTAAATGGCTGTCACTCTCGCCGTACCTCTGGAATTCAGCTCTTTTGTCCATGTTTGAACCAAGGCTGTAACGAGGTGAGGAGCTAAATAGCCCTGGCGGAACCCAAACTGGATGTCGCTGAGCAAGTTATTGCTGAGCAGGTGCTTCTTGATAGCACTGGTGATACCGTCCATCACTTGACTGATGATTGAGAAGAGACTGATGGGGTGGTAATTGGTCGGGTTGGATTTGTCCTGCTTTTTATGTACAGGACATTGGACAATTTTCCACATTGCTGGGAAGATACCAGTGTTGTAACTGTACTGCAACAGCTTGCCTAGGGGAGCAGCAAGTTCTGGAGCACAGGTCTTCAATACTGTTGCCGGAATGATGTCAGGGCCCGTGGCCTTTGCAGTATCCAGTGTCTCCAACCATTTCTTAATATCTCGCGGAGTGAATCGAATTGGCTGAAGACTGGTATCTGTAATGCTGGGGACCACTGGAGGAGGCCGCGATGGATCATCCACTCCTTGCTTGTTGCTGAAGCTTTCTGTGAAAGTTTCTGCCTTGTCTTCTGCACTGATGTGCTGGGCTCCTCCATCATTCAGGATGGGGATATTTGTGGAACCACCTCTTCCAGTGAGTTGTTTAATCATCCACCACCATTCACAACTGGATGTAGTCGGACTGCAGAGCTTCGATCTGATCCGTTGGTTGTGGGATCGCTTAGCTGTGTCTGTCACTTGCTGCTTATGCTGTTTGGCATGCAAGTAGTCCCGTTTGGTTGCTTCACCAGGCTGACACAGCATCTTCAAGTGTGCCTGGCGGTGCTCCTGGTATTCCCTCCCACACTCTCCATTGAACCAGGGTTAATTCCCTGGCTTGTTGGTAATGGTTGAGTGGGGGATATGTTGGGCCATGTGGTTACAAATTGTACTGGAGTACAATTCTGTTGCTGTTGCTGTTGATGGCCACAGCGCCTCATAGTGGCCCAGTCTTGAGTTGCTAGATCTGTGCGAAGTCTGTCCCATTTAGCACAGTGATAGTGCCACACAACACGATGGAAGTTATTCTCAATGTGAAATCTGGACTACGTCTCCACAAGGTCTGTGTGTAGTGGTTGCTCATACTGATACTGTTGTGGACAGATGCAACTGCAGCTGGGAGATTGGTAAGGATGAGGTCAAGTATGTTTTTTCCCTCTTGGTTTCCTCACCACCTGCCGCACGCCCAGTCTAGCAGCTATGTCCTTTAGTACCTGACCAGCTCGATGAGTAGTACTGCTGCTGAGCCATTCTTGGTGGTGGACATTGAACTCCTCCACCCAGAGTACATTTTGTGCCCTTGCTTCCTCTTAAGTGTTGTTCAACATGGTGGAGTACTGATTCATCAGCTGAGGGAGCACAGTATGTGGTAATCAGCAGGATTACCTTGCCTGTGTTTAACCTGAAGCCATGAGACTTTATGGGGTCTAGCATCACTTTTGAGGACTCTCAGAGCAACCCCATCCTGACTGTATACCACTGTGCCGCCACCTCTACTGGATCTCTCCTGCTAGTGATACAGGACATATCCAGGGAGGGTGATGGTGGTGACTGGGACATAGTCATACTCACAGAATTATACTGTAAAGATAATGTGAGGCTGTTGCTTGACTAGTCTGAGAGATTTTGGAACCAGCCCCCAGATGCTAATAAAGACAACTTTGCAGGGGAGACAGGGTAATTTCTGCCGTTGACCTTTCCGGTGCCGAGGTCGATACAGTGTGATCCATCTGGTTTCATTTGTTTGAGACTTTGTAGTGAATGGTACAACTGGATGGCTTGCTGGGCCATTTCAGAGGGCAATCGAGAATCAACCACATTACTGTAGGTCTGGAGTCACATGTAGGTGAGGGAGGCAGATTTCCTTCCCTGAAGGACATTAGTGAACCAGATGGGTTTTTCTGACAATTGACAATGATTTCATGGTGATCAGTAGATTCTGAATTCCCAATTTTTTTTTCTTTTGTTTTTTTTTGTTTTTTTTTCCTCCCAATATATTGAATTCAACTTTGGGATTTGAACCCGGGTCCCCAGAATATTTTCTGAGTTTCTGGATTAATAGTCAAGCAATAATACCACTAAGCCATTGCCTACCCGTGGGAAGTGGTCCGAGAAGTAGTGGATGTCAGGGCAATTGTCTTCCAAGGTTCTTTGGACTCTGGAATAGTTCCTACAGATTAAAGAGGAGCTAATGTAACCCCACTATTTAAAAAGAGAGGTAGAGAGAAAATGTAATTATAAACTATTGAGTCTGACGTCGGTAGTGGGGACAATGCTGCAGTCCATTGTACAAGAACAAGGATGCTTTGCTGCAACTGCACAGGGCATTGGTGTGGCCACTCCTTAAATACTGCATGTATTTTTGATCACTTCTGAGGAAGAATGTTCTTGCTTTAGAGGGAGTGCAGCGAAGGCTAACCAAATTGCTTCCCGGAATGGCAACACTGATATATGATGGGATGCTAAGTTAGGATGATATTCATTGGAGTTTAGAAGTTGGGGGCCATGGGCATTGGGAATATCACAGAAGCATATAAAATTCTAACAGGACCAGATAGGTTAGATGCAGGAAGAATGTTCCTGATGGTGGGGGAGTCTAAAACCAGACGTCCTAGTTTATGTAAACCTTTTAGGACTGAGATGAGGAGAAATTTCTTCAGTAAGAGAGTGGTGAATTCGCTACCACAAAGTGGTTGAGGCCAAAGCATTGTGTTTTCAAGAAGGAGGTAGGTATAGCTGTTGTGGCTAATGGGACCAAGGGATATTGGTGGGGGGTGGGGGTACTGAGTTTGGAATCAGCCATGATTGTGTTTCTATGTCTTGCAATTATGTATTTTGACTTTCAATTAACAGTTAAGGGAAGTACTGTTGTATTTCATTTTGAAGTGTTTAATTTTCAAATTTGGGAATTACAGAAACCATCTGTGGAGAGAGCTGGCACTTGGTAGGAAACTCGTGTTTGACAATCACCACTGCAAAAGAAAACTATGATAATGCTAAGTTGTTCTGTCGGAGTCAAAATGCAGCACTTGCCTCACTTACATCACAGAAAAAAGTTGAATTTGTTCTCAAGGAGTTGCAGATAATGCATGTGTTGGTGAGTTCAGTTTGTTTTGTTTTGGTTGAACTGAATCTGTTAATTCTGAATCAGTCATTTGTATCTGTATGAAAATAGCAATTCTGTTTGCTTTATGTTGAGTGAATAGATTGTGTTTTGGGATTAGAGAACATTTTCGCAGCAGACTCAAAGGAGGCATTAGTCCCCAACAAAAAGGTAAACATTTGAGTGATTTAAGATAAGTAATTGATAATTGTTGAATTGAAAACTCCTATATTTGACCTGAAATAAAATTAAGTTTCAACTGAAATTTTAATGTTGCAAGCTCAGACAGCACTTAACACACCTGAGCAAGCCTGTACTAATTGATTCTTAAGTGTGAACTGTCGTATTATTCAATTCTTGAAGCATTATAGCAAACTTGTACTTGAATGAAACTGGACGTGATTGGGACCTAAAAACCCTAGCCAGGGAATTGGAAAAGCAGTAGCAACAATTCTGATAAAATTCAGGGAAAGAAGGGATTTCAGTGAAGGTAATCAGATAATGGAGTCATCTACGAATTAAGAAATAACAAGCAATATAAGCCTTTGATTTCAAGCCTACAGAAACTTAAACTTTTGAGAAAGTTATGTCCAAATATTGGAAACAAGCAGTGTAAATAAAGTGATGAGAATGGTAAGCTTTAATTTTTGCACAGAATAAGGAACAACTATGGGCTGTGTATTATTCAATAAAACAAAACAATTAGCACAAGGGTTGAGATCCAGAGGACACTGATTTAAGGTGAATGATAACAGACTGGTCATGAAAAGCTCTCTTTATGGCGTAAGTGGTGACACAATGCCTGCGAACAGTACAGGCAGATTGGTGGCTTTTGCAAGGGAATGGAGTAATTTTCTGAAGACAAATTCAAGTACAGAGTGGCAGGAAAGTGTTTTTTTAATTAGATTTATTATTGTCACAGTTACCAAGATACAGTGAAATTGTATTGCATGCTAACCAGACAAACCATACCTGATTGAAGTACATCAGGGTAATAGAACAGAATGCAGAATATAGTGTTACAGCTTCAGAGAAGGTGCAGGCAAACTCGAATGTATGAGACGCTTATTCATAAGTCTGGGAGCAACTGGGAGGAAACAGTTGCTGCAGTAACAAGAGCCAAGTGGCCGCCTCCGTGGTGGAGCCATGCTTGTATGAAAATAAATTTGAAGTGACAAATGAATGAGCCATACTAGATTTAGTATGAGTGAGTGAATGACATGGGATTGACTGGTATTCTGATGCAAAGGAGCAATGTGGTAGTTGTGACTGTAATGATTTGAGGAAAAGAGAATTATTAGCCCAGATCTGAAAATGGAACCTGATTACCATCCTGTCTGGAAAGCAATGAGATATAGGCAATAAATATTGGTCCTGGTCTGTGATGCTCACGTCCAATGAATGAATTTCAAAAAGAAAATTAGCTTCAGAAGATGAGAAATAAGTTTTTAAAAAAAAGACAGTGCTGAAGAAACCCAGCAGGTCTAACGATACCTGTGGAGTGAAAAAGTTAATGTTTCGAGTCCAGTATAATTGTTCTTCACAACTTTGCAGTAAGCTGGGTTGAAACTGTACATGAGCAAAACCTACAGATAAACAATCGTATTTAGCACGATTCAGAATTAGTGCATCCTTCCAAAAGTGGTTGTTTTGGCTGGCCAGCATTTCTTGCTTGTCCCTCGTTGCACTTGAGCATGTGGTGGAGAGCTCCATTCTTGAATTGCCACAGTTCATATTCTGTGGGTTGACCCAGAATGGCTTTAGGGAGGGAATGCCAGGATTTTGATCCAGCATAGTGAAGGATTGACGATACGTTTCTAAGTCAGGATGGTACAAGGCTTGGAGGGAACTTGCAGATTGAAATTGGCGGGTATCGTGTCGGTATTGCAGATGTGGCCGCAAGGGGATTAGGGCTGAGAGCTAAATATCCAAGGGTATGTGTCCTATTGAAAGGACAGGCAGGTGGACAGACGAGGTGGGGTTGATTTGTAACAAATAGAATTAAACCGATAGCAAGAAATGAAATTTGAGTTGGAAGGTATAAAATCGACGTGGATAGAGTTGAGGAACCGCACAGGAGAAAAGACCCTAAGGGATGTTATGTACAGTAGTCCGGATATGGAGCAGGAAATAAATCAGGAAATAGAAAAGGCATTTTAGAGAGGTGTAAGTCAGTAATCCTGGAGGACTTCACTATGTAGGTGAATTGGGGAGGTCAGGTTTGTGGCAGAACCCAAAAAAAGGAATTTGTGGAATGTGTATGTGAAAGTGTTTTGAAACAGATTGTGGTAGAGCCCACGAGGGAACAGGCAATTCTCGATTTGGTGATGTGTCATTAGGCTCCACCTCAGCCCGGGGTCTTGGGCGAGCGAGGGGCAGGTCCCAGGCTGACTCCCTGGGCCCAGGCTTCAGGTCCGCAGCTAGGCCCGGGTGCCTTAAGGAGCGGAAGCATTGGCAAAAAGGATGGAAGGTGGACTGGCAGCAGCGCCTGGAGTAACATTGGATAGGGATCCCCAGGCCCATGGCTTCAGCTCAGACGGGGCAATTGTGGGAGTAGCGGTCTGTAACCAAGACCTCGGAGCCCGTTACATAGGTCAGGAGCCTATTTCAGAGACTCTAGCTGATGTCAAACTGTGGCTGGAGGAGCAATGGAAGAGGAACAAGTGGGGAGAAAAATCAACTCTATTGCAGTAAAATCTTACATAATATTCAGTGTTTCAAGGTGACTCAAGTGTGGAGACACTTTTTTTCGTGTAAAAAGGAAAAAGAGCAGAGATGTACCTCCTGAGATTTTATAAAGCCCTGGTCGGATTACATTTGAATATTTAGAATCTAGTTTCGGGCCTTGTCAAAAGCAAGTAATAAGAATGAACAACAGCAAGCGTCGTGTAGTCTTCCAGAAGGCATTTAATCTACTTCTATACAGTTGATTGTCAAAAATTAAAATGCATGGAATTGATGGAAACACTTGATGTAGCTTGACCTTTAAAAGTGGAGACCTAAGTACGAATGTAGGGCATGTTCCCCATAGGAAGAGCCTCCTGCATGCACTTTTAGCTAATATTCCTGACACAAGGATTTGATGAAGAAAACTCCTGACTGAGGAATAGCCAAAAAGAGACACAACATTCTGGAAGACACAGCCTGACTGTGTTGTTTTGAGAGTCTGTTTTAATTTAGTTTTCTTATTACTTCGGTTTATATAAGTGGGACATGTATTTGTTGGAACAGCATGCCATTAGAATTTTGTTCGGTTCAAGAATGGTTAGCAGTTAAGGGGGAATTGTTCAGCTTGTTAGTAGGTAAATAAATTGTTACTCATTGCTTATAAAGTGAGTATCGGGGATTTCTTTCATTTAGCATCTTTTTATATGAAGAGCAAGAGGGTAGCCAGGGAGAGGGTTGGCCCACTCAAGGACAGGGAAGGGAATTTGTGTGGAACCAGAGGAAATGGGCGAGGTATTAAATGAGTACTTTTCATCAGTATTCACCATAGAGAAGGACTTGGTGGATGATGAGTCTGCGGAAGGGTGTGTAGACAGTTTGGGTCACGTTGAGATCAAAAGGGACGAGGTATTGGGGATCTTGAAAAACATCAAGGTAGACAATCCCCAGGGCCTGATGGGATATATCTCAGAATACTAAGAGAGGCAAGGGAGGAAATTATTAGGGCCTTGAGGGAAATCTTTGTATCCTCACTGACTATAGCAGAGGCCCCGGAGGACTGGAGAATAGCCAATATTGTTCCTTCGTTTAAGAAGGGTGGCAGGAATAATCCAGCGAATTACAGGCCAGTGAGCCTTGCCGCCGGTGAGCCTTGCGTCAGTGGTAGGGAAATTATTGGAAAGGATTCTTTGAGACAGGACTTACTCCCACTTGGAAATAAGTGGGCACATTAGTGAGAGGCAACATGGTTTTGTGAAGAGGAGGTCATGTCTCACTAATTTGGTTGAGTTTTTTGAGGAAATGATGATGATCGATGAGGGTAGGGCAGTGGGTGTTGCCTACATGGACTTCAGTAAGGCATTTGACAAAGTCCTTCATGGCAGGCTGATACAGAAGGTAAAGTCGCATGGGGTCAGAGATGAGCTTGCATGATTGTTAAAAATCTGGCTCAGTCATAGAAAACAGGGGGTAGCAGTGGAAGGGTGCGTTGCTGAATAGAGGGCTGTGACTAGTGACGTTCTCCAGGGATCAATGTTGGGACTTTTGCTATTTAAATGATTTGGAGGAGAACGTAACTGGTCTGTTACTGGTGTGATTAGTAAGCTTGCTGATGACACACCGGTTGGTAGAATTGTGGATAGCAATGAGGACCGTCAAAGGATACAGCAGGATATAGATCAGTTGGTGACTTAGGCAGAGAGATGGCAGATGGAGTTTAATCTGGAAAAATGTGAGGTGATGCATTTTGGAAGGTCTAATTCAGATGGAAAATATACGGTAAATGGCAGAACCCTTAAGAGTACTGCTAGTCAGACGGATCTGGGTGTACAGGTACACAGTTCACTGAAAGCGGCAAGGCAGGTGGAGAAGGTAGTCAACAAGGCATTCGGCATGCTTGCCTTCATCGGCCGGGGCATTGAGTTTAAAAATTGTCAGGTAATGTTGGAGCTTTATAGAACCCTTAGTTAGTCCGCATTTGGAATATTGTGTTCAATTCTGATTGTTACACTACCAGAAGGATGTGGTGGCTTCGGAGAAGGTACAGAAAAGATTTACCAGGATGTTGCCTGGTATGGAGAGCATTAGCTATGAGGAGATGTTGGAGAAGCTTAGGTTGCTCTCACTGGAACGATGGAGGTTGAGTGGTGACCTGATGGAGGCCTACAAGATTATGAAGGGCATGGACAGCATGTTGTTGCAGCCTTGGAGGGCCCAAGGGCCTGTTCCTGTGCTGTAATTTTCTTTGTTCTTTGTTGGTAACAGATTTGAAGGTGAAAGGCAGGTTATACCATTTTTCCCCTTTAGCAGATTACCAAGCGAGGTGAGCTTCTCTGGGTGTTTCTGTTTTAATTATTAGGGGGGTTTGATCTCCTCTTTGTAGAGCAATGAATGTTGTTTACATGGATTTTAGTAAGGCTTTTGACAAGGTCCCTCATGGTAGGCTCATCCAGAAGACTAAGATGCATGGGATCCCTGATGACTTGGCAACATGGATTCAGAATTGGCTTGCTCATACAAGACAGAGGGTAGTGGTGGAAGGATGCTTTTCAGGCTGGAGGTCTGTGATAGTGGTGTTCTGCAGGGACCTGTACTGGGACCTCTGCTGTTTGAGAGATATATAAATGACTTAGACGAACATATAGATGTGTGGGTTAGTAAATTTGCAGAAGATGCAAAGATCGGTGGAATTGTGGATAGTGTAGATGGTTGTCAAAGAATACAGCCGGATGGAGATAGATCATTTGCAGATATGAGCGGAGAAATGGCAGATGTAGTTCAATATGGGTAATTATGGGTTGTGCACTTTGGGAGATCAAATGTTAAAGAAAAGTATACAGTTAGTGGCAGGACACTGAACAGTATTGATGTACAGAAGAATCTACAGAAGTCCGTAGTTCCCTGAAAGTGGATAGGGTGGTAAAGAAGGCGTATTGGCATGTTTGCCTTTATTGATCAGGGAATCATGTACAAGAGTCAGGCTGTCATATCACAGCTTGATAAAGAGTTTGATTAGGCCACATTTAGAGTATTGCATTCAATTCTGGTCACCACATTGCAGGAAGGATGTGGAGGCTTTGGAGAGGGAGCAGAAGAGGTTTATCAGGATGCTGCCTGGATTAGACTGTATGAGCTATAAGGAGAGGCTAGAAAACTGTAGGTTGTTTTCTCTGGAGCAGTGGAGGTTGAGAAGAGACTTGATAGAAGTCTATAAAATGAGATGCATAGATTGGTTTGACGGTCAGAGTTGAAATGTCTAATACTAGGGAGGCATGTATTTTAAGTCGAGGAGGAAAATTCAAAAGCTATGGGGAGGAACAGTGGTAGGAGTCTGGAACACACTGCCAGGGGTTGTGGTGGAGGCAGATACAATGGGGCATTTAAGGGCCTTTTAGATAAACATGTGAATATTCAAGGAATGAAGGGATATAGACCAATGGCAGGCAGAAGGGATTAGTTTCATTTGGTGTTACGTTTGGCATAAAATTGTGGGCCGACTGACCCAATCCTGTGCTGTACAGTTCTGTTCTATGTTCTAATCAAATTGGGTGTTTGTAATTATAAAATGACTGTTTGTTTGAAGTAGATATAGAGGAATGATTCGTTATGGGATAATGGGCACAATGGACCAAATAGCCTCCTTTGCACTACAATACTTGTGATCACGCAGAAGAAAGACAGCATGATTAAAAACTAAGCTCGGTCAGTGCAGAGTGACACCGGAAACTTAGAGCCATTCGTGACCTTGGTGTCGTATAAGCATTTTATATTTGATGTACTATTTTGAAGTCCTCGGTACTGTTGTAGTCTTCGGAAAGTGTGTCAAGGGATATTAAAAATGGCAGTAGATAAGTGATCGTGAGGTGTGGATTAGTTGTGATATAACAGTGCTATATCTGGCTTGAAGCAGGTGGGCTGAATGTTCTATGCTATGTTTTTGTGCAAAATTACAGAAAATAATCTGTTTGCAGGAAAATCCATAAAATTTTGGAAATTTGCAGTTTAACAAAAGCCAAACCAGATTAATACTATAATATTTCCAACTCTGGAATAAATGCTGTATTTCTGAGATAGTAGGAACCGCAGATGCTGGAGAATCTGAGATAACAAGGTGTAGAACTGATTGAACACATGATTCAGAAAAGAATTTTCTGAAGAAGGGCCTAGGCCCGAAACGTCAGCCTTCCTGCTCCTCTGATGCTGCTTGGCCCGCTGTGTTCATCCAGCTCTCCACGCTGTATTTCTGTTCTTGTTTAGCAAATATTACCATTTTAACAGTAACGCATTTGTTAAAATTTCAGTACAAAGCTACCATAACCCCATGGGTTGGATTACGAAAAATTAATGTTTCGTATTGGTGCTGGGAAGACATGTCACCCTTCACGAACACATCATTGCAGTGGATGATGGAAGAGCCAAGTGATGCAGGATTTTGTGGTTATTTGGCAGAACCTTATTTTGCTAGTTTGAAAGCAGCTACCTGCATCAATCCAGTAAATGGAAGTGTGTGTGAAAGACCAGGTAAGTGTTCTTGCAGGTCATGTGGTATGACAAACTTGTTTGCTCAATTTCCTAAGATGTTGCCAGACAACAATACGAATTGGTCACAAACAAAAGCAGAAGTTGCTGGAAAAGCTCAGCAGGTCTGGCAGCATCTGTGAAGAGGAATCAGAGTTAACATTTCATTGAATCCGAGTTAACCCGAAACATTAACTCTGATTTTTCTTGACAGATGCTGCCAGACCTGCTGAGCTTCCCCAACATTTTCTGTTTTTGTATCTGATTTATAGCATCCACAGTTTTTTTTTTTGGTTTTTGTTTAGTATGACACATTGGTCAACTAGCTGCTTAGATTATGAACTAACGGACCCAATTAATCAAGAAAATAAGTGAGACAAAAATCATGTTTTAGCTCCAAGGTGCTATTGCACTCAATAGAATCGTAGAATCCATACAGTGTGGAAACAGGCCAATCAGCCAAACATGCCCGCACCGTCCATCCGAACAGCATCCCACCCAGACCCATTCCCCTCCCCTGTTCTCTGTAACTCTGCATTTCCCATGGCTAATCCAACTAATTTGCACACCCCTGGACACTACAGGCAATTTAACATGGCCAATCCACCTAACCTGCGCATCTTTGGACTGAGGGAGGAAACTGGAGCACCTGGCAGAAACCCACATGTGCACAGGGAGAATGTGCAAACTCCACACAGACAGTCCCTGAGGGTGGAATTGAATCCGGGTCCTTAGCACTGTGAGACAGCTGTGCTAACCACTGAGCCGCCCCTGCCAGTTTTGTTACTGAGACCCGAGAGGTCTTGAACTGATATCTGCTCATTGAAGTGTCTAACGGCTGATGTCATGTAGAGCAGTAAGTTCTGAAGAATATCCAGATAAATTGGAGTAGTTCAGTGTTTGAAAGAGGCAAGAGAGTCATTGCAGGAAATTTTCAGAAAACGATGAATGGAAATGGTAAAGTAAGTCTGGAGCCAATATCACTTAGTTTTCATAGTGACCAACACTAGGCATGGATTTCCAGGTCAGTTTTTAAAAACTTTGGTATGATGTAAGAAGTTGTTGAATTCTGCAGTTGGGTTGAGAAAAGGTTTGTTTTTTTTCTCCCCTGGACTTTTAAAGTAATACAGATTACATGACCATATTTTTCATCAGGTTTCCTTTTACAGATTGGGCAAAACAGAAGGTGTCTTTCTTAAAATTAGTCTTTCACTTGGATTAGAAATTCACTTGCATTTGAAATCCATTAGTTCAGCCAGATTTAAAACAAAATTCCAAGTGTACACCTTGAGAAGTCAATCACATCATTTGCAAATCCAGATGAAATGTTTTTTGTGCAATTTGTAGTCAAGGTCACAACATTTGGATACCAGCTGCCAAATTATCCATTGGTCCAATCTGGAAATAATTCAAGTTAAAAGTGAAACACAGTGAATTTGGTGCATTTCAGAGTGTAGGTGGGTTCTAACCTTGCCAAGTTGTTCAGCTTCATTACTTTAAAACTCAGCCCTGATAGCTGGATTCATTCATCAACTCCACGCATACTGATTAGGATTTTGTCACATAGTACCAGCATATAAAATGATGAAGTATTTCATGCAGAAACATTTTATTTGAAGGTAAATTTACAACATGTCTGAATTATTTTTTTTTGCTCTTGGGTGTGAATTTTATTGTCTATGTCAGCATATATTGCCTATATAGACCCACCCTTTAGCTTAAAAATGTGACCTTGGTTCTGGACTGCTCAAGGAGGCAGACTATCCTGACCTACCCCATCAAGTCCTTGCTTGTTTTATTTATCTTCCAAGCATTATGGGCTATCATTTCTACTTATTTGCTTTCTCCTTGGGACAATCTCCTCATGCCTGAAACCGTGCTTGCACCCCCTCTGCAGTAAACCTACTGTTCCTTACGCAAGGAGTCCAAACAGTATAAAATTCTCCAGTGTGGTTTCTTTAAAAAGTCATATACAATTGCAGTTAAACTTGGGGGTTCCCTTAAAGACCCCTACTCCCCTCTGGGTGAAAAACCTTTTCCTCAAATCCCCTCTTAATCTCTTAGAATCCCTACAGTGTGGAAGCAGGCTATTCAACCCATCGAGTTGACAACAACCCTGCAAAGAGCATCCCATGCAGACCCACCTCCCCATCCCTGTAACCCAGCATTTCCTATGGCTAACCCACCAAGCCTGCCCATTCCTAGACACTATTGGTAGTTTAGCATGGCCAACCCACCCAACCTCCATATCTTTGAACTATGTGAGGAAACCAGAGCACCTGGCGAAAAGCCACACAGACATGGGGTGAATGTACAAACTTCACACACAGTCACCCAAAAGTAGAACTGAGCCCATGTCCCTGGTGCTGTGACGTAGCAGTGCTAACCACTGAGCCACTATGCCACCCACTGCTTTTCACTTCAGAATTGTGCCTCCATGTTCTTGACCCTTCAAAGTGCAACAGTTGCTTTCTGCTCACCCTGTCCATGTCCTTCATAGTTGTATACACCTCCTATCAGATCACTCCTTAACCTTCTCTGCTCCAACGCAACATCCCAAGTTTATCCAGCCTGTCTTCATAACTGAAATGCTCCATCCCAGGTATCGACTCTGCACCACCTCCAATGCCATCTTTTCTTTACTGTAGTGTGGTGACCAGTGCTGCACTCAGTACTCCAGTTGTCGCTGAACCAGGTTCTGTCCAGCTCCAACATCACCTCCCTGTTCTTAAAATCTGTGCCTTAACTGATAAAGGCAAACATGCCGTATACTGCCTTAACTTGTACAGCCACCTTCAGGGATCTGTGGACAACCCCTTCACAATCCCTCTGTTCCTCTGAGCTTTTCTAATGCCCTCCCATTCATTGAGTACTCCCATGGAAACAGATGCTTTGGTCCAACTCGTCCATCCGACCAAGTTTCCCAAACTAAACTAGCCCCATTTACCTGTGCTTGGCCCGTATCCCCCTCAATCTTTTTTTATTGATGTACATGTCCAAGTGTCTTTTAAATGTTGTAACTGTACCTGTATCTACCACTTTGTCTGACAGTTCATTCCACATACAAACAAGAGAGACCATAACAAGTTATCAAGGTGATGTCAAAATAGAACAGTAAGGGAGATTTTACTGTTACAGAACAGTATGGCGGGGTGACACGTAGCATGACATGAGCCGAGATCACGATTGAGGCCGTCTTCATGGGTATGGAGCTCGGCTATCAGTTTCTGCTTGGCGAGTCTATGTTGTTATGTATTTCAAAGGCCACCTTGGAGGATGCCTACCCAAAGATCGGGGCAGAATGTGCTTGAACATGGAAGTGTTCCCGGAGTGAGAGGGACTTGTCTGACCACAATCTTCAACAGATGAAATCCAAGTTCTCAGCCGAGGGCTCGATTTCTGCCCACTACCGAAATGGACCACGTTGGTCTCAGCAGACACAGAGGAATTCATCAGACGAATGAGGCTCCAGGAATTCTTCCACAAACTCCAAGGTGTCAACATTGAGCTCAATGAGATAACCAGTGAACTGGAACAGTCAACAGAGATCTGCAGTGCAGCGAGCAAAGAAGAAAGAGTCTAATTCGAACCCTCCAGAACGCCGCTGCCCTGGGCTTGACATGTATGCTCAAACCGTCAGGAGATGTATTAACGACAGATTCATCAGCCGTGCTCACAAGATAGTGCAGAGCATCAACCAAGCATAATGCAATGCCGTCCAGGCTCTCAAGACCAAATGTAACATTATTAAACCAGCAGATAAAGGAGGATCTGTCATACATAATAGAATGGACTGCTGCAAAGAAGCATTCTGACTTCTGAACAACCAGGAACACAACAGACAATGACCTGCCAATCAGAATAAAGAACACACCCGCCAATTCAACAGATTGATCAAGCCCTTTGATCCACACCTTCGGAGTATCCTACGCACTGTCATTCTGTGTACTTCTCACATAAGGGACTTCTACTGCCTTCCAAAGATCCACAAAGCCAACACACCTGGACATCCCATCATATCAGGCAAGAGGACCCTGTGTGAGAACCTCTCTGGCTACGTCAAGGGCATCTTAAAACCCATTATACGAGGAAACCCCAGCTTGTTGTGACACTAGAGACTTATTATCGAAACTCCGCACCGGCTTACCAATCGAACCAGGAACGTTCCTCCTCACAATTGACTTCTTGGCACTCTACACCAGCATCTCCCATGACAACAGCATCGTTGCAACCAGCTCAGTACTTAAGAACAACTAGCAATTTCCAGACGCCATCCTACAACTCGTCCACTTCAACCTCGACCACAATGTCTTCACCTTCGACAACTAGTTCTTCATTCAAACACACGGAACAGCCATATGGACCAAATGTGCACCCCAATATGCTAACGTTTTCATGCACAAGTTGGAACAAGACCTCCAACCAACGTTATACGCCAGATACATTGACGAAATTTCCTTTCTTTAGACTCATGGCAAGGGATCACTGAGATGACGACATCGTGATATCAACAAGTTTCATCCCACCATCAGACTTGCCATGGACTACTCTTCAGGATCAGTCTCATTCTTGGACACACACATCTCCATCAGGAATGGACACCTCAGTGCCTCACTTTACCTCCAGTGTCCACAGGTAACTTCACAATGCTGCACTTCTCTAGCTTCCACCCTAAACGTGTTGAAGAAGCAATCCCCTCCGGACAGATCCTGTGCATATACAGGATCTGCTGAGGTGAGGAGAAACGCAACGGACACCGAAAGAGTTTGAAGGACATCCTCATAAGAACAGGATACAGCGCTCAACTGATCGATCGACGGTTCCGATGTGCCACAGCGAAGAACCCCAACAACCTCCTCAGAAGACAGATACAGGACACGACCGGTAGAGTACCCTTTGTCGTCCATTACTTCCCTGGAATGGAGAAACTATGCCCTGTTCTTCACAGCATTCAACATGTCATCAGTGATGACGAACATCTCACTAAGATCATCCTGACACCT